TTGCTCAACAAACAGATTGAGTAAATATGGTGAAAGGATACAACCCTGATGCACTCCCTTCTTGATTTTAAACCATGTAGTGTTCCCTTTTTCTGTTCGAATGACAGCCTCCTGGTCTATGTACAGGTTCCTCATGAGTACAATTAAGCATTCTGGAACTTCTCATTCTTCTCAATGTTATCCACAATTTGTTATGATCCACACAATCAATGCTTTTGCATAGTCAATAACACACAAGTAAACATCTTTCTGGTATGCTTTGTTTACAGCCAAGATCCATCTGACATCAGCAATGATATCCTTCGTTCCACTTCTCTTCTGAACCCAGCTTGCATTTCTGGAAGTTCTCTTTCAATATACTGCTGAAATCATTTTTGAATTATCTTCAGTAAGATTTTACTTGCATGCAACATTAATGATATTGTTTGATAATTTCTGCATTCTGTGGGATCACCTTTCTTTGGAATGGGTACAAATATGGATCTCTTCCAGTCAGTTGGCCAGGAAGCTGTCTTCCAAATCTCTTGGCATATCTGAGTGAGTGCCTCCAGCGGGGCATCTGTTTGTTGAAACATCTCAATGGGTATTCTGTCAATTCCTGGAGCCTTGTTCTTCAGCCTTTCAGTGCACCTTCAATTTCTTCCTTCAGTACCACTGGTTCTTGAACATATGCCACCTCCTGAAATGGATGAAGATCGACCAGTTCTTTTTGATACAGTAACTCTCTGTATTCCTTTCACCTTCTTTTGATGCTTTCTGCATCATTCAATATTTTGCCCATAAAATCCTTCAATATTGCAACTCGAGACTTACATTTTTTCCTCAGTTCTTTCAGCTTGAGAAATGCTGAGAGTGTTCTTCCCTTTTGGTTTTCTAACTCCAGGTCTTTGCACATTTCTTAATAGTAATTGGCTTTGTCTGCTCAAGGTACTCTTTGAAACCTTCTGTTCGGGTCTTTTATCTTGTCATTTCTTCCATTTGCTTTAGCTATTCTCCACCGAAGGGCATGTTTCATAGTCTTTTCTGACATCCACTTTGGTATTTTCATCCTTTCTCATATTTTTAATGACCTCTTGCTTTCTTCATGGATGATGTTCTTGATGTCATCCCACAATTTCTCTGGTTTTTGGTCAATGGTGTTCAATGCATCAAATCTATTCTTTAGACGGTCTCTAAATTCAGGAGGAATATATTCATGGTCATATTTTGGCTCTTGTGAACTTGTTTTAATTGTCTTCAACTTCAAGTTGAACTTGTATATGAGCAGTTGATGGTCTGTTCCACAATCCGCTCCTGGCCTGGTTTTGGCTGAAGATATTGAGCTTTTCCATCACCTCTTGCCACAGATGTAGTCAGTCTGATTCCTGTGTATTCCATCTGGCAAAGTCCACTTGTATAGCTGCCATTTGTGTTGTTGAAAAAAGGTATTTGCTATGAATAAGTCATTGATGTTGCCAAATTCTATCATGCGATCTCCAGCATTATTTCTGTCACCAAGGCCAAATTTTCCAACTACTGGTGATTCTTCTTCGTTTCCAACTTTTGCGTTCCAATCACCAGTGATAAGCAACACATCTTGATTGCATGTTTGGTCAATTTCAGACTGCAGAAATTGATAAAAATCTTCAATTTCCTCATCTTTGGCTTTGGTGGTTGGTGAATAAATTCGAAAAATAGTCATATTAATGGGTCTTCTTTGTGGATGTATGGATATTATCCTATCACTGACAACATTGCACTTCAGGACAGATCTTGAAACATCCTTTGTGATGATGAATGCCATGCCATTCCTCTTCAGTTTGTCATTCCTGGCATAGTTAATCATATGGCATATCTGAGTGAGTGCCTCCAGTGGGGCATCTGTTTGTTGAAACATCTCAATGGATATTCTGTCCCAAAACCGGTCCATTTCAGCTCACTAATGCCTAGGATATGAATCTTTATGTGTTCCATTTCATTTTTGACAACTTCCAATTTTCCTAGATTCATACTTTGTACATTCCATGTTCCAATTATTAATGGATGTTTGCAGCTGTTTCTCCTCAATTTGAGTCGTGCCATGTCAGCACATGGAGGTTCTGAAAGACTTACTTTATCTATATCATTAAGGTTGGTTCTACTTACTAAGTAAGAAAGATAAATCAATAAATATATTGTGCTGTGATAAGGGCTGCAACAGAATACTCAAAAAGGA